GTGTGTGTGTGTGTGTGTGTGAGAGCGCGTGTGTGTGTGTGTGTGAGAGCGTGTGTTTGTGACCTCTGCTGGCGCGTGTGCGTGTACGTGTCCTGAGGCCCGTCGCTCCGGTGCTGTCGTTGTCTCCTCTCTGCAGGCTGCTCTTCAGCACGGCCTTCATCTGCTCGTGTTCAGCTGCGTCTTCAGCGTGACACAAACTCTGCGGCTTTGTCTGTGGCCCGAAAGGAGGAGCGATGCTGCTGCTGCTCACACACACACGACCCGCCTGCACACACACACACACACACACAGACCATCACAAACTACACACTGATTATACATTATCATAAATTATACATTTAATAAACATCAAAATGTTAAATTAAAATAACTAATTAAAAAAACAAAAAAACTATCGAAATTAAACTATTTATTTTGATTGCTTTTATTAAAATATTTGTTTTATAAATTATTTATAATTTAAGATTTTGATGATTTATTTGAAGTATTTTTTTGTAAACTTAAAATACAAATATCAAAATAATACACTTAATAAAATTTTAATGAATCATAAAAATAAATAAATAATATAAACAAATGATTTGAAAATAAAAAACGTAAGATTGAACACATAAATGTTAAGTTAAAATAAATAATTTGAAAATAAAACCACCAAAATAAAACACTAAAACTTTCATTACTTATTTAAATGTTAGTGTTTAGATTTTTTGTTTTTGTTTTCAAATTTCCAATATTTTAAAGGGGTCATATGACGATTCTAAAAAGAACATTATTTTGTGTATTTGGTGTAATGAAAAGTGTTTATGCGGTTTAAGGTTAAAAAAACACATTATTTTCCACATACTGTACATTATTGTTTCTCCTCTATGCCCCGCCTTTCTGAAACGTGTCGATTTTTACAAAGCTCATCGGTCTGAAAAAGCGAGGTGTGCTCTGATTGGCCAGCTATCCAGTGCGTTGTGATTGGCCGAATACCTCAAGCGTGTGACAGAAATGTTACGCCCCTTACCCTACTGTGATGCCGTCTCCCGGCATGACGAGACAGAACCAATAAAACCCATTACAAACGAGGCATTTGTTGCATCCAGTGGGGATTGAAATCGCATCATATGACCCCTTTAATTTTACTAAAATCTTTTTTTCTTTAAATATATAAAATAAACATATTAAACATTAAAATATTAAATATATATCAAAATAAAATACTTACTAGAATTTACGTATAAATCATAAAGTTAAATTAAAATAAATAAATACTCTTAAAATAAAACAATTAAAATAAAGATGAAAAAATATGAAATATTTTAGTAGTTTACTTGTATGTATTTTGACTATTAACCAACATCAGAGAACCAAGAACATGTGAATTTGTTGTTAAATTACTAGGTTAAAGTATTTAAGGTTAAAGCAAACAAACAAAAAAGTTTGGGAATCCCTGATGTAAAGAATAATTTGCACATTTACACCTCAAACTCTCGAGATTACACACACACACACACACACACATATACATCAGATCAAATCAAGACAAAAACACAGCTGAGCACTTCCAGGTTAGAAACACCATGTGCAGATCTCAACAGGGTTACACACAGATACTCCATTAGTGACGCTGGCAGCTTTAACAAGCCATTAAAACATGAACGGTTAATATCTGTCAGAACAAACGCACACCCTCATACCTCACTGTCCTCTTCATCATCCGTCTGGGGTGAGAAACAGAGAAATCAACAGTCAACCGTCTGCAGTCTCAAATAGTGTGGCAGTGATTGTCATACGAGCACATCACTAATGAAAATCTCTAGCGCCACCCACATCACAACATAATCACAACTCTAGCTCCGCCCACATCACTAAATAATATATACAGTCCCGCCCACATTTACTACTATAGTCCCACCCACAGCTGTGAATAATCACAACCCAGCTCCGCCCACATCACTAATGAAAATCTCTAGCTCCACCCACATCACAACTCTAGCTCCGCCCACATCACTAAATAATATGTACAGTCCTGCCCACATTTACTACTATAGTCCCACCCACATCTGTGAATAATCATCCCCAGCTCCACCCGCATCATTAATGAAAATCTCTAGCTCCGCCCACATCACTAAATAATATATACAGTCCCGCCCACATTTACTACTATAGTCCCACCCACATCTGTGAATAATCACAACCCAGCTCCGCCCACATAACTAATGAAAATCTCTAGCTCCACCCACATCACAAAATAATCACAACTCTAGCTCCGCCCACATCACTAAATAATATGTACAGTCCTGCCCACATTTACTACTATAGTCCCACCCACATCTGTGAATAATCACAACCCAGCTCCGCCCACATAACTAATGAAAATCTCTAGCTCCACCCACATCACAACATAATCACAACTCTAGCTCCGCTCACATCACTAAATAATATATACAGTCCCGCCCACATTTACTACTATAGTCCCACCCACAGCTGTGAATAATCACATCCCCAGCTCCGCTCACATCACGCATGAAAATCTCTAGCTCCACCCACATCACAAAATAATCACAACTCTAGCTCCGCCCACATCACTAAATAATGTATACAGTCCCGCCCACATTTACTACTATAGTCCCACCCACATCTGTGAATAATCACAACCCCAGCTCCGCTGTGAAATATCTTATTTAGGTCAGTACTAAACAATAATAAAAATAAAAAATAACATGCATATTGTATGATCCCTCTTATTTTGGTAAAATAATTAACATTTTGCAGATTCTGAAAGAGGGATGTAAACTTTTGACCTCAACTGTATCTGTTCTAGTCTGAAAAGTGAAAGGGTGGGTTAGTTTAGGGCAGGGTTTTGCCATCATAAAAATGTACAAGTAAGATAAATGATTTTAAAATAAAAACATTCAAAAAGAACATTTATTAAACATTAATTAAAATCATAAAAAATTAAACAAATTATTAAAAAATGTAAATAAAACACTTATTATTTTTTAAAATCAAAAATATGAATTATTTAAAAAAAAAAAACTATCAAAATAAAAATGCAAAAAAAAAATCATACAAATAAATTATTTTAAAATAAAACAATTAAAAAAAACGTACTGAAAATAATTAAAATCATAAAAATAAAAAAATAAATACTTGGAAAAACTATCAAACTGAATGATTTATTAATTCCTTTTTTAAACATTCATAAAATATACATTATAAATTATTAAAATGATAAAAATGAAAAAGGAATCATTTTAAAATAAAGACAATAAAAACCACCAGAAATCAGTTAAATTGATTAAAATAATAAAAATGTAAAATAAAAATAAACAATTTAAAACAAAAACAATAAAAATAAAATACTTACTAGAACAAATTAAAATGTAAACTTAAAAAAAATCATAATAAAATACTAAGAATTAAAATCATAAAAATGTAAAATAAAAATAAATCATAAAAAAATCTAAATAGAAAACATATAAAAAATCTAAATAAAATACAAAAAAAATAAATCATAAAAATGTCAAATTAAAATAAATAATTTTAAAATAAAACAATTAAAATAAAATACAAAAAATGTATTAAAATCATAAAAATGTCATAAAAAATCAATAATTTAAAAACAAAAACAATCAAAATAAAACACTAAAATGAATTAAAATAAAAAAGTCAAATAAAAATAAATGATTGTAAAGTAAAAAGGTTTTATTTGTTTGCAGGTGTGTGTATCTCACCTGTGTGCTGAGGTCTGTGATCATCTTCCCTCGCGTCTTGTTCCTCTCTCTGTGATCGGCGCGCTTCTGTCTCTGCTGCAGGACGCGCTCGCGAGTGGTGCGGTACTCCAGAGCGAACTCGCTGAGGAGCTTACTGAACTGAGTCACGCTGATCTCACGAACACTGTACGCCGGCTGACCCAGGAACAGCAGAAACCAGTGAAACCTGCCACACAAACAACACGATTAAAACCAGCACTCGTGTCATTTAACACACGGATCAAATGTAACAGATGTTTGTAAGTGTAACAGTGGGAGCGCTCACTCTTCACCTGTTCATGATCCTGCGGTGGACAGTTTTGAGGATGATGATTCTCTCGGCGCAGTCCTTCAGGAAGTCCGACATCTTCTGCTTCAGCGCCGGCTTCATCTCGTGCTTTGCGATGACTTTCAGGTGGTCCCATGATGCTTTGCAGCGCCACTCCATCTGAGTCAGAGTCTCCTGCAGCTGGTCGAAGTCCACCTGCGGACCGGCGTTACTTCAGCTGCATTCATGTACTGTTATACTTTATTATTACAGTTAGTAATATTTTGATTTAGCTCTTTATAGATATATATTTTTTTATTATTATTATTTTTTTTAATTCAAGTTTTAGTACGTGTTTTTGTCTTTTTTTTTTTTCTAGGTCTATATAGTTTTTAGTAATTTTTATTTAATTTAATAATTTTTCATTCCGTTTTTGCAAGTTCTTTTCATGTGTGTTAGATTTTTTTAGATTGTAACATTCCAAAATAGCAGAAATGTAACATTCTAAGGCAAAATGTAACATTCGATGGCGAATATATGTTTATACAGTTTTATTATTGCTTTTTATTTTCATTTTATTAATTTGTATTTAATTTAATATATTTTTATTCCACATTTGCAAGTTTTTTCCTCATTTGTATTCATTTTTTAATCTTTTTTTTTTTCATTTTTATTCCTCGTTTTTTATTAATTTTTATTAATTTTTTAAAAATATGTCTAAATAGTTTTTTATTAATTTCCATTTTTATTTGATAACTTTTTATTTTATTTAATACATTTTTATTCTTAATTCATAAGTCGCTTTGGATAAAAGCATCTGCTAAATCAACAAATGTAAATGTATTTTATGAACGTTTAAGTTTTTGTATATATTATTTTATTTCAGTTAACGTTTATTTTATTTCAAACAACACAATTTTTTTTAATGGTTGCAGTTTTAGTTAGCGCTAATAACCCTGCACTTCACAGCTGTCTCTCTAAACACGTTCATGCACAGCAGCATCAGAACACGGAGCATCAGAACACGCGTGTGCGGTGCGTGTGTTACCTTAGCGGAGCGCGTGACGGCGCCGATCTCAGAGTACAGGTCTGTGCCGTCGGGGAAGTTCTCCACCACGATACTGCAGACGTGATGCAGGAGAGACTGCTTATGAACCGTGTCCTTCACTTCAGGAACCTTCTCCAGATATGTCAGATCGAAGCCTTTGGCCTGCGCAAACAATCACTGTCTATAAAGCACAGACTGAGTAAATCAATAACACATTTCAGTGCGTGTCGTGCTGAAATCTCACGTTGGAGCCGTTCAGGAGGTTTCCAATCGCCAGCAGAGTCGATAAGATGAAGCGCAGCGTTTTGTTCTTCTCCTTACTACTATAGTCCCACCCACATCTGTGAATAATCACAACCCCAGCTCCGCTGTGAAATATCTTATTTAGGTCAGTACTAAACAATAATAAAAATAAAAAATAACATGCATATTGTATGATCCCTCTTATTTTGGTAAAATAATTAACATTTTGCAGATTCTGAAAGAGGGATGTAAACTTTTGACCTCAACTGTATCTGTTCTAGTCTGAAAAGTGAAAGGGTGGGTTAGTTTAGGGCAGGGTTTTGCCATCATAAAAATGTACAAGTAAGATAAATGATTTAAAAATAAAAACATTCAAAAAGAACATTTATTAAACATTAATTAAAATCATAAAAAATTAAACAAATTATTAAAAAATGTAAATAAAACACTTATTATTTTTTAAAATCAAAAATATGAATTATTTAAAAAAAAAAAACTATCAAAATAAAAATGCAAAAAAAAAATCATACAAATAAATTATTTTAAAATAAAACAATTAAAAAAAACGTACTGAAAATAATTAAAATCATAAAAATAAAAAAATAAATACTTGGAAAAACTATCAAACTGAATGATTTATTAATTCCTTTTTTAAACATATTCATAAAATATACATTATAAATTATTAAAATGATAAAAATGAAAAAGGAATCATTTTAAAATAAAGACAATAAAAACCACCAGAAATCAGTTAAATTGATTAAAATAATAAAAATGTAAAATAAAAATAAACAATTTAAAACAAAAACAATAAAAATAAAATACTTACTAGAACAAATTAAAATGTAAACTTAAAAAAAATCATAATAAAATACTAAGAATTAAAATCATAAAAATGTAAAATAAAAATAAATCATAAAAAAATCTAAATAGAAAACATATAAAAAATCTAAATAAAATACAAAAAAAATAAATCATAAAAATGTCAAATTAAAATAAATAATTTTAAAATAAAACAATTAAAATAAAATACAAAAAATGTATTAAAATCATAAAAATGTCATAAAAAATCAATCATTTAAAAACAAAAACAATCAAAATAAAACACTAAAATGAATTAAAATAAAAAAGTCAAATAAAAATAAATGATTGTAAAGTAAAAAGGTTTTATTTGTTTGCAGGTGTGTGTATCTCACCTGTGTGCTGAGGTCTGTGATCATCTTCCCTCGCGTCTTGTTCCTCTCTCTGTGATCGGCGCGCTTCTGTCTCTGCTGCAGGACGCGCTCGCGAGTGGTGCGGTACTCCAGAGCGAACTCGCTGAGGAGCTTACTGAACCGAGTCACGCTGATCTCACGGACGCTGTACGCCGGCTGACCCAGGAACAGCAGAAACCAGTGAAACCTGCCACACAAACAACACGATTAATAAAACCCTCTCCCATCAAGGCTGACTTCAGATCAAGAGCTTATACTGGACCTCTGACCTCTCTCATGCTTATTGCATTTTGATTGTTTGTTTTTAAATTATTTATTTCTATTTTACATTTTAATTCATGTTTAGTATTCCATTTCATTTGTTTTTATTTTTAAATGATTTATGTTTTATATTTTTATGATTTAATACATTTTTATTATTTTATTTAAATTGTTTTATTTTAATAACTTTTTATTAATCAAAAATGTATATTTTCATGATCTTTATTTCATTTTTAGTAAGCGTTTGATTGTCTTTATTTTAAAATTATTTATTTTATTTTACATTTTTATTATTTTATATTATTTATAAAATAAATAAGTGTTTTTTGATAGTTTTTTATTTTTAAATGATTTATTTTTTATTTGACATTTTTCTCTAATTTTTAATACATTTTTAGTATTTCAATTGTTATTATAAAATGATATAATTTTAATACATTTTTTGTAAGTGTTCTATTTTGATTGCTTTTTATGTTAAAAATGTTTATTTTATTTTACATTTTTATGACCACTAAATGGTTAGGTTTTTTTTGTTTATTTTTTGTAGATTTTTATTTATTTTAAAATGATTCTTATTTTTATGATTGCAATACATTTTCAGTACGTGTTTTATTTGGATTGTTTTGAAAAAATTATTTATATTTCACATTTTGATTATTTTAATAAATTTTTACTACGTTTTTTTTATATTATAACATTTTTATAATTTAAGTAATTTTTAGCAAGTGTTTTATTTTTTAATAAATTATTTATTTATATCTTACATTTTCATGTATGCACGTTCATTTTTCGTACATTTTTTTTTACATTTTATTTTTACAGAAACTAATGTAACCTGGTGTGGAAACAACAGAGTTAAAGCTAATCTTGATTAATGTCACATATCCCAGATTTTACCCAGATATGACCTCTGACCTCTGGCGCTCACTCTTCACCTGTTCATGATCCTGCGGTGGACAGTTTTGAGGATGATGATTCTCTCGGCGCAGTCCTTCAGGAAGTCCGACATCTTCTGCTTCAGCGCCGGCTTCATCTCGTGCTTTGCGATGACTTTCAGGTGGTCCCATGATGCTTTGCAGCGCCACTCCATCTGAGTCAGAGTCTCCTGCAGCTGGCCGAAGTCCACCTGCGAACCGAAGACACAAACGCAGATGTTACTTCCGCAGCATTCATCTACAATTACAGTTTATTATTGAAGTTATTTGATTTAGTTTTTATTTTAATATTTTCATTTTAGTTTTTTTTTTCAAGTTTTAGTTTTTTGTGTGTTTTTGTCATTTTTATTAAGTTTTTTAATGTCTATATAGTTTTTTTGTCTATATTTTTTAATGTCTATATAGTTTTAGCGTGTGTTACTTTAGAGGAGCGTGTGTTACTTTAGAGGAGCGTGTGTTACTTTAGCGGAGCGTGTGTTACTTTAGAGGAGCGTGTGTTACTTTAGAATGGTGAAATGTAACATTCTGAAATGGCAAATTGTAATATTCTAAGATGTCAAAAATGTAACATTCTAAAATGACAAAATGTAACATTCTAAGATGGCAAAAATGTAACATTCTAAAATGGTGAAATGTAACATTCTGAAATGGCCAATTGTAACATTCCAAGGTAAAATGTAACATTCTATGGCAAAATGTTACATTCTAAAATGGTGAAATGTAACATTCTGACATGGCAAATTGTAACATTCTATTTTTGAGGGGACACAAGTTGGGGGGGGGGATGAATTTAACATTGAAAGTAATTGTGAATAAAAACATTGTAAGTTAGGCTACTTATCATGACACTTTCATTGTACAGAAAGAGAGCAAAGAACATTTACATTATCAAAGAACATTTTCACTGACAACCTAGAGTTCAAGCACTCTCAAAAACTCCCATTAAAATCACTGAAGCTGTTTACACTGTGAAATGAATATCTTACTTACAGATTCATACACACATCTGCACTTTGTTGTTTCTAACTAAAGAATTCGCCAGAAAGAGGTATTCAGTCAGCGAGCGTGAAGAAAACACCGGCATTTTAGCAATGACTCATCTGAACACCTCTGATTGGCCATTGCATTCATAAGCTCAACAGCATCGTGTGTGGTTGGTTATAATGCGCAGTGCTGTAAAAACACGTCTGTCTCTGGCTCAGCGCCAGCCAGCGAACGCAGATTTGAATTTAGCAGCTAATGATATGACGCGCTGAACAATTTAATCACGCTGGTGTGATTGTATCAAATATAGAAAATATAATTCGGCAATTTTTTGTCTTTTGAAAGCTGCATTTAAAATTCACTTGGCTCAAAAATCTGAGGGGGCACATGCTCCCTCACTTTGAATGGGCATGAATTTGAATCTGCACTGCACCATGGTATTGTGGCAGAAATGTGGGATATTCACATTGAATTTTATTACAGGAGTAATGGTATATCATTATAATATGTATTTGTGATTAAGCTATAGCATCTGTGCATTTATACCAAATGCTTTTAGACTACTGTTTTTCATACAAATAGGCTACCTAAAAACCATATAGTTATATCTTTACCATGGTATTGAGGTGCTATATGAGTGGTTTTAACTGTGTTTATCATGATTTAAATGTATGCTACTATGGGAGACCAATGCTTAATAAAAAAAACTTATGTTAAACTTAAATAAATTTAACCATATAAAACTGAGGCTGCTACAATTTTTACAGATGTTACTGATTTTGATAATGAACAAAAATTTACCTCTGCATCCTAACTCAAGCTATTATCAAATGTGCATTTCTAAAAGACAAAAAAAGTGATATTATTATTATTATTATTATTATTATCAGGCAACCCAAACCTGTTTCTTGATTTGAAACGATATCACTCATTAGAACATGCAGAAACTTATAAATACATTTTTCTACTTAGATATTTATTTTGTTAAGGAAAATGAATTGTCTGGTTTCTACAAATTTCACTTTAGAGCAAAAATCTGCCTTTAAACTTGAAAGAAATAAAGATTTGACATTTATCGTGATAATTATCGATATAGACTGATATGAAAAAAAAATTATCGTGATAATTTTTTTGGCCATATCGCCCAGCCCTATTCTAAAATGGCAAAATGTAACATATGTGTGTTTTTCTGCACCTCAATGCCCTCTTTGTTGAGCGCGTACTCGTCAAAGTTCATTATGGCGGTTTTGATGGTGCGCGGCGGGGGAAGAACCGTCAGACCGATGTTGATGGAGTTGCTGCGTTTGGAGTCCAGAATGATGATCTCCTGCCGCTTCCCATCCGCTGCCGTTTTCTGTTCAACACACAGATACAATCATCAGTGCAACAAATGAAATTTTCATTAATGAATTGCTCATAAGAGTCATTGGTTCAAACCAATAAATCATGAATTCATTCATTTTTTGAGCAAATTATTTAAGCATCGCTCATAAGACTCATAAGAGTTACACGTTTGATTTGGTGAGTATATATATTCAGTATATATATTTTTTGAGCAATGCACTGATATTCATTAGTGCATTGCTCAAAAGAGTCAGATTAATTCAATAGCTGGATTCAGTGAGTTCATTTGTGTTGGTTCAAACCAAAAACGTATGAATTCATTCTGTTTTTTAAAGCAATTCATTAAAGCATCACTCAAAAGAGTCATTTGTTTTTTGTGCAGTCAAAAAAAACACCAGAACAAAACTTCCATTTGACTTGAGCAAAAAATTTGTTTTGATTGTACTGTGACGGTGATTCTGCTCACCTTAGTCACGGGCATCTCTTTGGATTTGCTCTCAAACAGGTGTTCAAGTTTAGCCGTGTCAAGTTTGACAGGTTCAAGTCTGGACCAGAGCGACTCTTGGCTGCGTCTGTGGTTGCGGTAGATCCAGTCGGCGGGCCGGACTTCACTCCAGAACAAGCGGATGGTCTTCTTCCTCTTCTGGAAGAGCAGCGCTTGCTCCGCCTGCTGCTGAGAAGGGGGCGGAGCCTGGCTGGAGAAGCATGGAGGGGGCGGAGCCTGGCTGGAGAAGCATGGAGGGGGCGGAGGCACGCGGATGCTGAACATGGGAGGGGGCGGAGGACAGCCGAACATAGGGGGCGGGGCCGGGAGGTTAAAGGGGCAGGGCGGTGGCGGAGGGGGCGGAGCCTGCAGATCGCCAGAGCTGTATAAACTCCCAGAGTCCAGGACATCCTGTTCATCCTCGTCTCCCAGATCGGTGAAGTCGATGTCGCCGATGCGCAGATCCCGCGGACTCGCCATCAGCTGGTCCCCGATGCAGTCCGACTCCTTCTTTGGAGCTGGCGGAGGAGGAGGAGGAGGAGGTCCCTGCGTTTCT